TGAAAAGAGTTATTCTGATCTTTTTTTAAAAACTGAGTAATGCTACAACAAAAGCCAGTAGTCTTATTTATATTGCTAGGACTCTGAATGGAACAAATGAGTAAAAAGACGTTACAAACATTACGCTAGCGTTTATTGGCTATAATTATCTTTGGGATGTTTTCGGCTCAATGGACATGACGTGAATGGAAGTGAGATGGCTCATGCTTTCGTTTCATCTTACAGTAACTCATGCTTCCATTTCACATGTGTATTGTGAAGCATAATCCTCTTGTTGAGCATATCATGGTGGATTAGCACATTCATACTAATAGTCAAAATGTATTTATGTTCTGTTGCTCATATGGGCATTTAAGCATCATGATAAGTTTTTTTTCCTCTCTTTTTTTTGACTTCTTATTTTCTTTTCTTCTTTCTTTTTCTTTTTCCTTTTTTTCCCTTCTTCTTACTTTTATTGGAATACAAAAATTCAAATCAATAAAAAAAATTACTCAAAATGCCACAAACATGTGAAAGAATTGCAAACCTTCAAAATCCAATGGTGAGCAAACGTGTGAAAGGTAATGAAGGCACTATAGTTGAGGGCGCACTTGTGCCACCCTCAAAAAGAAATTTCCCAAATAATTAGCTTAACCATAGTAGATAGGGGTCTGTCGTGATAAACAAAATTCAACTAATTCCTTTCTAAAAACAATTCATTGACTTGAAAGTACTACCATGGTAGAAAAAAATGAAACCACTTTTCTTTTCAAATGACTATCATAGTAGAAAATATTCTACCATGATAAAAAAAAACAAACTAGATAAATAGAAAATACCATGGTAAAGAAAAATAATTTAACTTATTAAATAGTCATTTCTAAAATTTGAGATACTAAGCATTTAATCAAAAGAAAGTATGAAAGGCTCATACGATCCCGCATAAGTTAAAAACATAATAAATAAAAATAATATAGGAATTTAGAAGCCATTATACATTTCAAACACTTTTGACTATTTCACAAACATTCCAAATAACATATAACCATTTCTTCTGCTATTTAAATACAAAAAAAAAAAATCATAGTTAGGTTATAGTCAACCAGCATGTGCAATTTATATAAAGGAACCTTAATACAATATCATCTAACATTTAGCTTTGGTCTACACAACATAGTATCTTTAAAAAATTATCCCCCACATGCTACTTGGGCCAAAATATCATTTTCTCAGCTTATGCTCCCTACATATGAAAACCAAAGCCAATATTCATAAATAGATCAATTGATCAAATTCAATAAGCCAAAACACATGGCCTAGCAATCATGCTATTCCAAACCAACCAACATTATCAAATATCATCAATGCCTCAATAAGTACACAAATTTATCTTAATAATTCATGGTTTGCAGTCATCCAAAAATATATGACATGTAGAAACTATTTAAAGAAGCATGAACACAACCATGAGTCTACATGCTCAATAAATAAACAAAAAAATCCCTAAACATTGGCAACAATGCATCATTAAAAATTATAAATTCAAACCCAAAGAGAGGAAGTAGTTACATACCATTGAACCTCAAGGGCTTCTTGAACCACCACATTTGGCTCTTCTCCTAAAAATGTTGACCATGGAGGTGAGATTCTTGTCTTAGTAACCAATACCAATTTATATAATGTATACAAAGAATTATATGTGAGTTTGCTAAGTGAAAAAAATAATACATTTTAAATAAATACAAGAGATATTATATTGCATGACAAACAACTATTCTTATCACCCTCCATTATTCTTAAGCCATAGCCCTCACTCAGTGCTATATCTCCTAACCAAAGGTAGACTAGCCCTAAATTTTCCACCATCAAAAGTACAAAAATCAAAGAAGATAGATAAAAAAGAAAATTTTTTAAAACACTTACATAGTTTTAAAAACTTAAAATCTTACGTAAAATATTTTATTATGGAATCTTACCTTTTAAATTAGCTCTCTTCTCCTTGACGATCCCTGGCTCTCTCACTCTCTTTGTTTGCCCACAGCCATGGGAAGACAAAATGAAAAAGGCAAGAGGGGGTGCATTGCTTTATTTGATTGTGGGTCCCATAATCTCACTAGATTTGTGTTTGGTGCTCATCAATCCTTATGAGCGCTGGTGTTTATCACACACATAGGGTAATCTTGGCCTTTTATTCTCCTTCAAATGATCTTTGCCATCAATTTTAAATTGTTTTAAAAATAATTTTAATATTATATTTATGAAAATAAAATTATATAAAAATTAGAAAAAATTAATACAGACTCTTCAGAGTATATTTAAATTATTAATTTGTAAAAATTATAAAAAAAATTATATTAAATTGAACCTTCTAGATTATATCTCTATTATTCATAGTACATATGGATAATCAATTTGTAAAAATTACTAAAAAAATATTAGATTGAATCATTTAGATTAAATCTGTGGCTAGATTCTTTATAAAAAGATTTACGAAGGATTTCTATTTTTTACATATTTTTGTTTTAATAAATATAAAATAAAAATAAAAAACTTAAATCTAGAGTGTCTAGATATCATCAAGGGTGATGAGTACTATGATGTTCATCTTCTAATAAGTATAAAATTCAGTCCATATTTAATATTAAATTTTTTAATAATTTTTACATATTTTTATTTTGATCAATATAATATTAAAAATATTTTAAAACAATTTAAAATCAATGGCAAATACCATTTGAAGAAAGATGGAAAGGCAGGATCACCTAGGTGCTCATCAGGCACCCAATGCCCCAATCTCACCCCCCTCTTCTTCCTTTTTTTTAATGTATATACTCCTTTGCACACACAACCCAACGGATAAAAATCCATTTCCCCACCCCCTTTTCTTTTTTTTATTTCACTTATCAATCTCCTTATTTTTAATATTTATTTATTTATATTTTTATTTCTAAAAATTCTTAACTTAAAATTATATCATAAGTAAAGTTCAATAAACATCTCCCAAACAAATCAATTATTTTCAAATGTTCTTCCTAATTTTGTATTTAATCTAATTAACTTATAAAATTTTAAATTGGTATGTTACAAAAGTTATTTATTTTTAAATTTTAAAGAAGCGAGTCATTGATATCATTGAAATAATATGTCAAATTCACATTTTACAAACTGAAAATGCTGAAAGAGTTTTTTTTTTCTCCTTTGAATTTTGTTCTAATAAAAGTAAAAAAAGATAATGAAACTTTTTGTCCCTTAACTTTGTCTCAATCAACAATTTGGTCCTCAAATTTAATTTGTATTCAATAATCCCTTATATTTTTCTTAAATTATCATGTTAGCCCTTTAAGTTTCAAAATACAAATTAATTTTCAAATTAATCTAGTCAAATTATTGATGACTTGACGTATACATGTAGCTAAACAAGAACAAATTAGCCATCAAATCAGTTTAATTTTTTTTTATCAATATAGTCCTTTATACTGAATCAATGTAGCGGGGAGAGCTCCAAAGAGCAGTCTCCAAATGCAATGAAGTCACTAGGAAAAGGGGAAGGAAACCCTAGCCCTATAAATAGGATCATTGTAGATCTAAATCAAGAGGAAACTAAATCCAACATTGAAACCATGAAACTAAAGAAAAGAGGGCAGAATTAGTTAGCCGTGTGATTTTGGCTTGAAGCTTCAATCTCCCATTGAATCTAACTAATCTTAGCTTCCCAAGCCTCCTAAATACACCTTTCTCTTGTGCAGCCTGCAAAAAGTCCCTTTGCTATTATTCTCGCTGAAAAGCTAGCTATCATTTTCTTGTTCAAATATGCATTTAAGTGGATCCGTGCATTTTGGTCAGCGGCTAGTCCAATTGCACCTCATGTTGCGAGGAAAAGTGTGACACGATGATTTTACTTTATCCAGATAAGATAATTAGGATCCCCATTTCATTATAATTATGTGTTAGATTTTATTAGATATTTGAGTAGCTAGATTATTTTTAACTTGATTTAGTTTGGTTTTAAATTGAATATCTTATCTTGTTTATATCTACGAATAGGATGTAGATTATTATTTTTGGGTAATAACAAGGATTCCAAAACCAGAGAATTAAGCTTCCCCTAAGGAGTACTTTCCTTCATGTTCACCAAGAATATTGGACATTTGGATGTGGGCCACATTGCTTGAAGCCCAACAATTAAGCTGGCCCTAGGAGCAAATTTGTAGCCTTTATAACTAATATATATATATATATATAAAATAAAAGGAGAATGATTCATAAATTTGAGCATTAAGGTTTTTAATTAAAATGTGACATCCTTTCATTGATCCCATTTTATATTCATATGATTAGACTAAGAAAAACAATATTTTCATGGTTAATATGTTTTTAAATATTTTCAATCTATATTGTAAAACTATTTTAAGCGTGTCCATATAGAGTGTGAATGCACAAATAAAAATTTAATGATTTGAATTTTTTAAAATCAAGATTTTTTTTAATTTCCAGTCCTTAAACATAAGAAGATGAGTACTGAAATTGGGATCCTAAGTTACATATGATGAGATCCTGATCTGTCATTAATTTTCTTATCGAGTCCTAAATTGTCACTATTCCTTTACTTTAATTCATTCATAAAAAGAAATATAATATATTAAAAATAAAAAGTATAGTTTACTTATTATTAAATTTTCAAAAAATGAATACGAAATGACGATTTGAATCAAAAATAAAATATATAAAAAGGGTTCTGATTTCACTTAAAAGACATATAAAATAATATATTTTGTTAATGTATGCTTTTGAACTTTCTATTTGCGCGATTCGATTATGTGCTGTTTTGAGATTTAATAACACACCATTTTTTTTATTTTTAAAAATTAAAAATTATGGCGAAGATCTCATCCCATCACATGAAAGGTGACTAGCACGAGGGAAGACGATCCCCTGGGAAATATATCACGCACAATGTACAAGCTGCAAGCGAGGAGGAGGGAGAAAAAGGATGGAAAAGGGAAAACCATGCACGTGCCAAATTGAATAACAATCAAAGCGACATTTATTAATTAAACAAGCAGGCTCACGCAGATAACACAGCAACCAATTAAGTGCAAATGAAGAAGATAACAAATGCAAATGTCTACACGAACGGAAACTACTGAAGACTTATTGACGGGCACAGCACTTAGCAGAAACATAAAACAGCAGCACGTAGGCATCAACACCAGAGTCCAGAGGGATGGTGATGATTTATTTATTTGTAAGCCGAGACATATCACTTCTCAGGGTTATCATCACCGGTCACGATCCACTTGGAAATCCCAGAAGCGGTCGCCGGCTTTTGGTCGAGCAGGTGAGGAACGGCACCGAGGAAGATGGGCACTGGGACGGTGGTCCAATCCGAGGGGTGGGTGCTACTGTGCCCGGCGATGAGCTTCTCTTTGTCATAAGGCAGTTTGTCGAGGACTTCCTTGAGGGACAGCGAAGTTTTAATCACAGTAGGCCAAGTGTGGGTCTGGTAAACCACAAAGTCAATAGAATCTTGGAAGTCTCTGTACAAGGGCCAGTAATAATTATCACAGAGAGAAGCAGACACGGTGATGGAAACTAGAAAGTCGTCGGGGAGGTCATTTTTCAGGGTCTGTATCACCTCGCCGATTGCATCCTTAAACTGACCTTGCCCGGCAGGATGGATGTTTTGGTAGTAAACGTCAAGGCCATCAAGCTTGCGCTCCTGGATGATCTTTTTCAGGGATTTGGTGGCATTGGAGATCCAGGTTTCTTTGTCGGAAGAGGTGACGGAAAAGCCGTATTTCTGGTCACGGCCACCGATGCTGAGGAAGAACTTGACTTTGGAAAACTTGGTCTTGTTCTTGAAATCTTTGATCTTGGCCTCAGTGAAGTCGCTTTTATTGAAATAGCAGTCGAACTCTCCCGTGGATTTCCCGGATGAATCGTAATCTCTGGCGAAGGCCAGAGCGACCTGGATTCCGTTCTTGAGCTTCACAGAGCGCAGATTTTCGATTGAGCTGTTGCTGCTGGCGTAGACCCGATAGGATAACAATGGATTCGACATGTTGAAATGTAGTTATGGGTTGTGAGTCTGACTTCCACCTCTCTCTTGCTCTCTCTTACTCTCAGATTCTAGATTTGGCTTTTGCTAGGACTGTGTCAGTGCATCACTCGGCTTCCTTCTCGCCCTTATTTATACACCTCGCTTGCTTCTCGTGTGAGCATTTTGACGTCACTCCCTCTCCGTCACGAACCCTTACGTCACGTCCTGTTTCCCACGTTTGGGCCGGTGCTCATCACTTGATGAACTTCTAAACCGTTCAGATTAAAAATCTGGACCGTTTATATTTTTATTTTATGTTTATTATAAAATTTTAATAAATTCATTTTATCATCAATTTAAATAACGTAAATTTAATCTGGTTTAATTTAATATTAAATTTTTTAGAATTTTTATAAATTTGTATTTTAATAAATACAATATTAAAATTACAAATAAAGATAATCTTTAAATTGAAATTTTTTAAAAGAAAATTAATAAAAAGTTTCAACTTGAAAATTATCTGGATAGTCAATTTATAAAAATTATAAAAATATTTAATGTTATATTTGATAATTCACGTTGAATCTACATTGTCTATATTGATGATAGAATAGATATATTAAAGTTTTATAATTTTTATTTTCATAAATTTAAAATAAAAAAATAAAATCTGGAAATCTAAACAGTTTGGAGATGAGCACTGAAACCGGATGCGTGATTCCCTCTCCATATAAAGAATTTGAGACCGTTAACTGGGATTTGAGAGTCCGGACAGGCATTTTTCAATTTCAGTATTCCAACACATTGCTAATCAAAGCCTTGTTTACAGCGGACTTATTAAAATAAGACCGTTTACTTGCATTATTTATGGCGGACTTATTAAAATAAGACCTTTCACTTGCATTATGTGTGGCCCACTTATTAAAATAAGACCGTTTACTTGTATTATGAGTTAATGTGATTTCGCGGAACCTTCATGCGTCGAATTAACTTTGTTAATCTTTTTTTTTGCCAGAGTTGGAGGCAAGACTATTAGAGGGACATTTAACTGTGGTAATCATTTTTTTGGGGGTTGGAGGCAAGATTATAAAATTAATTGTGTTAATTTGATTTGATTTGGAGCTTTTTATATCAACTTAAGTTCTCTTACACTTTTAACATCCTAACAATTTGCTCTTTGTTCATTTCTTCTCTTCCTATCCATGACACGCACGCATGTTTGTGTGTGTATATGTATATATTCATCCTGATCTTATTTAATTTACTTTAAGCATATTTATTGGGATTAAGAAAATATTAAACCTCATTAATTTTATCTTAAAATTTAATATCTTTCCACCTCTACCCTCTACCAAGCTCGACATAATGGCTTATAACATTATGTTAAGTTTAAGTTTTGATGATAAAAAAATATAGTTGTATTAACATAGTTAATACATTTGAGAATATAGAATAGTTAACTATACGCTTTAGTTGTTTGTATATATATATATATATATATAGTATTTAACTATAATTATAGAACAAATCCTTTAAAGCATTTTTACATTGTTATATACTATATGAGGTTTTGAAAAAAATTTATGTGCATAAAAAATATTTTATACTATCATATTTTTTTATCCAAAAATGATTCTATATCCAAAGTATTTAAAGTGTTATTTTTTATAACTTGGATAATATATAAGACTTTTAATATGCATGGTATGACGTAATAACTTTTATATTCATTCTCTACTAGTTAAAAAAAATATTACAGTAAACTAAAGTTTACTAATATTAATAGATATTTGGTTTGCATAACTTGTTTGATTATTTTGAATCATATATATGATGTAAAGAATTATTAAGAACATATGTTGATATCATATTCTGACAAGTATTTAATGCATTTCATAGAAAAAAATAATTTTTAAGTAAACTTCACCTCTACACATCTTCAACATCTATTCACTTACCTTTAGTGTTCCTCACGTCTTTTTATTGCCAAACTACAAATAGGACCTTGATAACTCACATTTATTACACACTTTTTCTTATTATTATTGACCAAAAATCATGTTATATTTATCCAAATTGCACACTTACTGCATTAATTGTGAGAATCGCCTAAGCGTAGGGTTCTGTACAATAAGGGCATTTGGTTATAAAATTGAACTTTTGAGAAAATGTTTGAGAAAATTACTCAAGATGCATTTTTAGTCTATAAGAACAATGGTTTAATTATATTTCTCAAACTCTTTTTAAATTGAAAATAATTAATTTCACAAGTTGATAATTTTGGAAAGTTAAGTTTCATGTTGACTTGTTTTCTTGCACTTAGGCTAGGAAAGTCAAAATTGAGTATGTATATGTTTATATATTTGCACTGTCCAGATTTGCATTTTAGTTTTAACCTTCCGCATACCATCTTCTACCATAACCTTTTTTAGAGTTCAGATTATGATGTGTGACAAGACTGTAAGATTATGAATTCTTGTGATTTATTATATATAGGTCCACTAAATCTTTATTAGAAAAACATAATTTTAGGTTCCTACACTTTACTCATGTTTGCTATTTGTTCCTACATTTTTTTTTGATATTTTAGGTCTCTACACTTTTATTTTTTATTATTTTAGGTCTTACTATAAACAAAGTGTAGGGACTTTAGAAAGATCTAAAATAATAAAAAATAAAAGTGTAGGGACACAAAGTTATATTTTTTCTTTTTTATTAAAAGCGCAGCGTTGGTAATATCACCTTGTTTATAGTGAGACCGTTTACTTGCATTATTTATAGTGTGTTTTCATCTATATAAGTCATGCGAGGCGTTTATACACCATCATGTTCATTAATTATTAATTGCGTGTGAGCAATTATTATCAAACTATGGATCGAGCTGCTACTTCATTTTCTTGTCTTATTTACACGTTACTTTCAACATATTTTATTGGAATCAATGAAAATCTTAAAACTTATTAACTATGTTTACAAAGTTAGTAATTGCCACAACTTTGCTTTTATTAAATTTCACCAACATCTAATGGACTGGGGTAAGAGTAAAAGTTTGTGATAACAATTTAATGATCAAACTTATAAATTATATAAGAAAAATCTTTCTTTCTCTGCTTTGTAAATAAGATCAGAGGAAATATGTAAAATTCTCTTATACTCAAAACAAACCATATATACACTACACATGTACTTCAGGAGTAGAGTGAGGAGGACGGCTTTTTTACCAAGACTACACACAGTAGAAGAAATTACCTAAATGCTGCAATGTGGAAAGTATTTATTAAAATTCTACACTAAAAATTGTTTAGATGAAGAATGGTTTGAGGTTTTGAAAAAATCATTTTCACTAGACAATTTCATCTTATTATTGCTGGTGTGACATTTTATTCCCAATCTCTGCTTTCTGTCCCCTCGGTGATTGCTTTGTCAAGTCTTTCTTCATTTTCAAGGAACTCCCCAGCTTTTGCTTTTCACACGAGGGATTAGAAAATTCATGTGCATGTGTATTTTATTGGCTATACGAGGGATTGAAAACATAAAGAAGGTAGTAGCAAGATTGAGGCCAGTGCGAGCCTTCTCCGTGTTTAGAGGTAATTCTTGTTCATCTCATTTTATTCCTATGTTAATGAGATTGAATATAATGTTATTTGCTCTTATTTGCCTAGTGTTCTAACATTTTATTCCTACACTACTTATTCTTGCTTCATTTCTTGCCTGCTCCATTTCCCGTGCTCTCTCATTTCTCTCTTATTCAAACTTTAAAGTTTTTCTTTCTACTCCATTTCTCTACTCTAGTTGGTGGTATTAGTATTGTGAT